GAGAGAGAGAGAGAGAAAGAGAGGGAAGAGAGAAAAGTTTGGTGAATGGCGCCTTGCGTCGGGGAAGGTTGAACTGCCATTTCGTCTCGAAGGAAAAAGATACTTGGTTGTATCGTGTTCAAAGATCGTGGAAAAGGATCGAAAAAGCTCGCGCGCGTTTGATGTTCAGCTACTTCCGATGGAGAACGCGTTTTCGCGATACAGAGCGGTGCATTCAGACCATGAAACATTCATGCTCGCACGGAGATGAGAAAGAGGGGGGGAGGTATCGATGCAGTGGAGAAAAATAACGTGGGGTGAAAGAGGAGAACCGTGAAAATAAAGCTCGAAAGTGGAGGATATTTCGAGAGCAGAAATTAGATGCGTTAATTCTGATTAATTTTTTGTGATCACATACGCATCTGATAATCGTGTTTAGTGGTTTTTTAAATTGGAAATAAGCGAAGATTAATTTTCAAAGAGCCGGCGAGAATATTATAAGTAGATAATTAGTATATAATATAATTATAATAATTATAATAATATTTATAATAATAATTATAATAATTATTATAAATAGATTCATTTTTGTCATTTTATCGTATGTGTATCTTATATAATTGATTTTATTGTATAGGCAGTTGTATAGGCGTTTGTAGTGCAAACTTAAATTATTTAATTATAATTTAAAATATAATATATTTGTATATTGTTTGTATTATTTTGAGATAAATCGTTACAATAGGGATTTTTCCTGAAGATTAAGATAAATGAAAATGTAATATCACTCATGAAAATTAAAGACGTCAAAAACTTTGATATTGGAACTAGAATTTCAGAAATTTTATTATATTTTAATTAAGTTTTATTATTATATTCTTTTTTATTATTAGTTCCATAATCAATTAATTATTTCATTTTTTATTGACACATTGCATATTCTAAAAATATAAAGAATGAAATAATGGAAAATCATATGTTAATATGTTACTAATCAGACAATCAGATAGTATTTTTAGAATTAACTAATTTAGTAGTTTCGTTTAAGTTTTCGATTACTTTCGATGGCTAGACGAAGGAATATTAAAGCATTTATTCGGTGTTCTGAAAAGATCGTTGTTAGTGTATAGCATACACGTGCTGAGAACAAAAATAGCACCAGATTCCAAGCTATAATTCATATGTAGTTATACATTATTCGCTCGAATAAGTTGTTCCTGCTTTTGATTTTGCATGGCTGTTATTTCTTTTGCTAATGGAGGATCTAAGAGACTCGTATTTTTGATTTGCGATATGTAATTGTTACGCAAGTTGAAACACAACGAAACGCTGCAAATCTCGGCCGGCACATATGAATCCATCGTCATTCGCCAAATTTCGTTGACTATATCATTTGCATATTCATCTGCACGATACGACAACTTCTTTCTCTAATACGTACATATCTATTTAATTTGATTTGATTTCGAACGAATTAAAAATAAATAGTTGATATTTCAAAATAATTTAATTGAAATTAAATATAGAAATATTATTCAATGCGTATAAATTATATTCTAAAATAGAATAAAATAACGATAGAAAGATTAACAATTCATTATAATATAAATGTAATTATTTAGATTTAGTATAAAAGTAGGAGAAAATAGAATACTCAACTATCTAAGAAAATTCCAAGGAACAATAATCAATTCTTCTTCAGAAAATCACAAGTGTCGGTTAAAAAATTACTTCTTCAATTCTTATCGCACTTTTTCGAAACACAGACGAAACTTATCAAACTTCCTACAAACGAATACGTTTTACAAAATGTTTCTTTCCCAACTTTTGTGCACACACTAGCGTTAATTCGTATACCTTTGGCACTTGGTTCCAAGAATTCGCTCAGCCAACCCGGGCTACAATTAATCCAAAGAAAATGTCACTAACACCACTTAAGCATGTACACACTTCCCCACGGTCAACTTCACACTTTATCACAAAAAATCACAATCTAAACGCCACGAATATATTTATTTCTCCACGATCAAATCGAATTCGACTCGATCCGTGCAGCTGTAAAACCGTGTCTGCCGAGATCTTTCGTGATTTTACAACGACTCCCGTGTTCGCTGCACACTTGGACTGTCTGCAGTATTTATAAAACACCGACCGGAAAGCGCGACTGGTGAGCTGATTTTGGCGCCGAGCCGGCTTGGCCGCTGACGCCTCGACGTGGACATCGTCTTCGCGGATAACGATTGTCGAAGGAGATATGTTTTTTTAAATTTTCAAGGAAGAATCGTAAGATAGTCGGGATGGACAGGATTTAACCGAGTTTAGAGAGTTTAACTCGTGATTGTTCGTGGTGGACCGCCGCCATTTTTGTGTTTTATACGAGAAACCACGTGCCAGACGTGTAAATCGCGATCCCCAGAAAATTAATGCGTCTGCGTCGCGACGTGATGAGCTTTCTGCGAGTTTTATGGGAACGATGAGTAATTCGCGAGTTATTTTCACGTGTGGAAACGCGCTTCCCTTGGGAAAAGTGGAACGACGATGGAGGTACGTACAACGAGAAATGTATCGAGCGTTTTATTCGAGTGTTATAATTGCGTTCATCGTGATTATTTGTTTCTGATAGAAAAATTAGTTTCTGTAGAAGGAGGAGGATGATCTGTACGGGAATATTTAGCGTGCTATTCGTGCAATTTTATTAATTTTAATTAATTTTATAGATTGTAAAAATATTTTTTGGGTATGTACATACATATAAGAAATATTACGATAGGATTTGTTTCTATATTCTTTGTTTTTTTATGTTTGGGTGATATATGGAGAATTAATGATAGTGATTGAAAGAAAAGATTGTTTTTTCGTTTTTAAATTTTTGAGAAAGAAACGATTATGCAGTTAACAATTAATAAAATTATATGATTAATAGTGTAAGCATGATTTAAATTATTCCGCCAATATTTGCTCCGTGCACTACGGACATCTATCGATACTTTGTTGAACTATATTCTCTTTTCTTTTGAGGTTTTTACTTGATTCATCCGATAATTTTTGTAATTTTTTTATAATGTGAATTATTGCTTTTTTTTATCAATTAAAATATATAAATAATACATGGATCAGAATCTATATTTAATTTTTTACAAATTTGTAGGGACTCTATATTCTTTTTCTTTATCATTTTAGTAAATTTATTTCCATTATTATCGACTCAGTAAAAAATAAAATTATACAAATAATAAATTATTAATTATTAACTTTTATTAACTTTTATTAATTAAATTAAAAAAGGTATGTATTTGTACATATCTAAAAAATAATATCATGAAAGTATAAATATATTTTTATTTCATTTAAAAATATATATATACTATTATGATAAATTGCTATAAATATCAAAATTATATATTATTCTAATAGGAAAATCATTTTTCATTATAACGATAAAAATTGTTTATTTTCGAACATCTTTATTATTGTTTCCATTGATTTTTTATAAAAGGAAAGAGAAGTCATTTCCTATTAAACTTCTATAGCAATATAGACAAGAATAAACATGACATATAATGCTTTGGAGATCATCTGACCTCTGCCATTTTTACATCATATACGTTTAATATCATTTGTAGTCGTAATAGTGGTTAGAATAGTAATTTTATTACATTAATATTCATTATTTATTAATTAACAGTAAATCAATACTAATCTTGAGTAACATAAATCAACTATATAATCATATAGGATAAGTAATATATCAATTATACTGTAGCATATCAAGAAGTATATATCGACAATATAATCCTAAATTTTTTAGTATTAAAAAAATTATTAAAAAACATTACAGGTAAATTATAAAGATCTATAAAATATCTTTCTTGTATCTCATATAAAAGTATATATATATATATATACTTTTATATATGTGTCGAAATTAGATTAGAGGATATCATGTTTTATTCTTTTTTAAATAATATATTTTTGAAATAATATTAATAATAATATAATCGTCGGTGATTTACTTATCTCAAGCTTCTCGCTTGTTTTTCGAATTTTTTTTTATTTCAAAAACAATTGCAAATCAAATAGTATATATATATTGCTATTACATATTGCCAATAGCAAATGATTTATTTCAAAAATATATTATATCTTTCAATAGAATTGCAATGGAATATGTAGAATATAATTAATTATGTAGAATATAATTTCTAAATAAAAATTTCTAAATAATCTCTAATAATTATTTACTTATTTAATTATATATAGTTTATGCATATAAATTATTTGTTAAATAGACTAAATATATTACAAATTCAAATTTTTTCTTTTTCTATGTACACATTTCATTAAATTTAATAACTTTTATAAATTATTATAATTTTATTTCATTCTTTTTCATTAAATAATATTAAATATCGTTATAAATATATTTACACATTTTAAAACTTCGCGCGGCCTTGTGATACCAATAGTACGCCACGTGTGCCAGTAGGTGGCGCCAGCGTGAACGTATAGACGCGACAGAAGTATTCGTAACTCGAATCCAGTGAGTACGTTTTCTCAGCTTTCCCGTGTCACGGTGTCGCGAGCACGTCTGTCGTTGACGCTCGCGGTGTCGGTTGGTTTTATCTAATCTGTGGATGAAAATTAAATTCCGTGAGTGTTAGTACTGGTCACAAGTGTTCGGTTGAGCGTGCGTGAAATCGGAAGAGTCGGCAGGGTCCGAGAAACAGAGAAGAGGACGAATGACGAGGCCAGGCAACGGGTAAGAGACGAGCACGGGAGCAGACAGAGAAAGAGAAAACAGTGGGGAGCAGGAGACACGGAACGAAAAGAGAGACAGAGAGAGATAGAGAACGAAACGAAATAGCAAAAGAAAGAAGCTAGAAGTGTGTCGGGCCAGTGTATCGAGGAAAGAGCTGGGAAATCTTGCTTTTCCTCTTCGTACGGTTGGATCGAAGGGGCAGAGGGTGTGCGGGTGGGTGGGGTGCCAAAAAGAGAGAAACAGAGCTCGAAAAAGGAAGAAGTAATCCAGCCACGAAGGGTGTACGAGCTGTGCGTCTCGGGGAGGGAAGAGTATTGTGTCGACAAACGAGAGTGTGAGAAAGAGACAGTGCGGTGCCGTGTAAACATACATCCTATTGCCGTGAGTGCGTGCGCGAGTGGCAATCAGCGACGACTTAACATCATCGTCGTCGTCGTCGTCATTGTCGTTGAACGCCGTCGTTGTCGTAATC